TGTTGGCAGAAAGGGTAAAGGTGAAGGTGGCCTCGTACAGCAAATTTCACGCATAATCTGGCAAAGCAAAACGCTCATTCTGAACTTCTTACATTACCCAATCGGCGAAAGAGATACGCTTTTCACCAAATCGACTATTTTCCACTTGACATAGATTTATGGACGCTCTGATCGAACCTAATGATATTTTCTTAGTAGTAAATCTAGAGAGGACACTAGGACTTGAAAAATGATCAAACTCAAAAAATATGGGGAACTTTCGCTCGGACCTGATAAAAAAAGCATGCGTAAGGTCTGACTGTCCTTTTGCTTCAAGCGTTCAACTCTCTTGAACGCTTCAAGCAAGTTTCAAACTCTCCACTTTTTTGCGTATCGTACAGAAAAATTCCGAGCAAAACTGAGACCAATGTCGCAAAAATTTCGGTAACTCTTGTCTATCAGTTCGCAGTATATATTTTTTCTCAGGTGAAATTGCAACATCAAGATCACAGAGTGGTAAATTCATGGCATGTAACCTAGACAGCAAATTTATGAAGCTCTTTTGGCCTTTACAATATAGTAAGTAATTTATAAAAAACAAAAACAGCACAAGAATATCGTTTAATTGCTTCAGTTGTGTTTCCCAAATTTATTTATTTCCACCAAATATTTGATTTTTATCTGTAAAGGCGAAGAATACGTTCATTCTTGCTAGAGTCTAATTTCGCGCTTCACAAACACACCAATAAGAGGAGAAAAGGCAAGCAGATGCAAGCAAAAATCTTAATTTATGATTTTCAGACCCAACAACTTTGAAAATTTTGAAATCAATGCTTTTGAACAACTCACACACCTCCATATTGTCTATTTTGATATCCCTGAGTTGAGCACCGCTCATCGATTCATATCAGATCCTGAAATTACACAAATTTACATTGTGGCATTAAAAATCGCAAATTTGTCGATTTATCGATTGATGATGAAAATTTAGAGAGAACCACATACTCAGATGAGAAAAGTAGATCAAGCAGTGAAACTAGAGTTATTCGGATTTTCTATAAATTTTCTAAGATCAAAATATGGAAACCAAATCCTCAAAAGGAATGTAAGATGATGGAAAAGCAAAGCCCAGAAATGTTAGTAGAAAATCGATACGACGACAAAATCAACGAAGCGTTAACGTTTGCACTTCGAAGGAAGGTAGTCTTTGCACAGCTCCAACCGACATTTACATTCCCGAAGAAGTCAGAACCACGTACAGGCCGGGAACGAATGGCCACCACATCGATTTGGGGGCGCAATGACAAGTGCGAAGGAGGCGAGCGCAGCTCTTACATGGACGAAAACGTATTCCGTTCATGTAAGTGAAGGTTTCTCGTATAAAATAAAAATTTTCAATTTCTTAAATATAAAATCAAATTATGAGC